CTGGTATACTTTAACACAAATTTTTAAAAAAGGGAAAATAGGACAAAAACTTTTTGAATGTATCATATAAAAAGAAAGAAATTTTAAGCAAATGTCTAAACATTGTTTAGATTTATGTGGCACTGCACAAGTCACAGTTGCTTCTCCAAGTTTCCTCTCAAATTCAACTTTCTTCTGGGAAACAAACTTAATGATTCATGAAAGGTCTATTTGGAATAACTCAGTCATTCAGTCAACAAATATTTTTGCTTATCTGTGTTAATAGGCTCAGTTGAGTTTTCTTTGAATGAAAAAAGTGAATTAAGATGCAAATTGCTCCAAATTTTGTCTGATCCAAAGTGTCCCGTTTCTCATGCTTTGTAGCAAATTGATATTTTAAATCTGTCAAATTATTTCTTGCCAGAAAAGACATATTTAGGGTAATGCTGTTTTTTGAAGTCTTTCTACCAAAGATGGATTTTACAGATATGTGCTTTTTTAGGTCTGCTAAGACTAATTTTTAAATGTTTTTAATTAAGAAATAATAAACAGTGAAACACAGATCATCTTTTCAACAAATTGTTCTGGAGCAACTGGACATGCACATGCAAAAAAGAAAATAAACCTAGACACAGACCTTGCACCCATCACAAAAATTAACTGATGAGATCACAGACCTAAATGTAAAATGCAATACTATAGACCTCCTAGAAGATAACATAGGAAAAAACCTAGATGCCCCTAGTTATGGTGATGCCCTTTTAGACTCAATACCAAAAGCATTATCCATGAAAAGAAAATTGATAAAATAGACTTCATTAAAGTTTAAAATTTCTGCTTTACAAAACACAGTGTCAAAAGAACAAGACAAGTCAGACAGGTATTTTCAAAAGACATCTGAAAAAGAACTGTTTTCCAAAATACACAGGAAATCTTTAAACTCTAAAATCCTAAAACAAACAGGTCAAATTTAAAAATAGGCCAAATCCTTAACAGATATCTCACCAAAGAAATTATATAGGTGATAAATAAGTATATAAAAGATGTTCTATATCCTAAGTCATCAGGGTAATGCATATTCAAACAATAAGATGCCATTGCCATATTTTAGAATGACCAAAATCTGGAACACTGACCATACGAAATGGCAAGGACTTGGAGCAACAGAAACTCTTCATTCATTGCTACAACCACTTTTGAAGACAGTTTGGTGGTTTCTTTTGAAATTAAGCATACTTTTCCTATATGATCCAGCAATTGCCCTCCTTTTATTTACCAAAAAAAAAAAAAGCTGAATACTTATGTACATGCAAAAATCTGCACAAGTGTATAGAGCAGCTATTCACAATTGCCAAGCTGGAAGCAACCATGATGTCCTTCATAGAAGATGAACCAATAAGTAAACTGTGGCACCTCCAAACAATGGAATATATAATGGAAGTTAATAAAAAGAAAGTATCAAGCCACAAAAAATTATGGTGGGTAATGTATATTACTAAGTGAAAGATGATTTGAAGAAGCTACATACTGTATAATTCTATATACTGTACATACTGTATGAGCTATATACTGTATGACTTTCTAGAAAAGACACAACTCTGAAAACAGAAAAAAAAAGATCAGTGGTTGGCAGGGGCTGAGGAGAAAGGGGTAAGGAAGGAGAGCACAATGATTTTCAGGCTAATGAAACTACTCTGTATAATGCCATAGTGATGGATTTGGCTTTTGAATACAGAAGAGGAAGTGGAAGTGTGGGGAAGGTAAGCCACTTTCTAAAAATTGTATAGTAAATGTGACATCCAGTCCCAGAGCCAAATCTCCCAGTTCCTTACCTAGTGTCCTTTCATGACAGGCACTTTATCTCGATAAAAAGTTTCTTTTTTTCCACAGTGTTCTATCTCCTAGCATTTCTAGATATAAAATGAAATATTATTCTTATATCTAAGTAAGAGGAGAAACCTTAAATGTGCTGATGGTTCAGTCAGAGAAACCAACAAATATTAGTAAATCTTCATTCAAGATGAATAATTTAATTTCCTTAATAAAAGAGATTTTGTTTTTGCCTGAATCAGACATTGTATCATTCATCTTTCCATTTAATTCTGCCTGTGTGGGTAAGAATAAATCATTTAGTTTGTGGTTTTCGAATACTTAGCGTGGTCTGTATGGGAGTACGGAGCCTATGCTGTCATCTAGTGGAATATTGTACTATTACACTACGGTGAAGAGAGCTGCTTGAATACCACACACATCCCTGTAAAGCTGAGCAACATTCTTCAGAATCCCTGCTCCTCTGGCGGCTGATTCTGTATCTCAGTAATGAAGTGGGAGTGGTAGAAAGAAAGTGGTAGAAAGGAAAGATACTTCACCGGGGCTGTGGAGATTCTGGGAAACAGGAGAGAAAACACCATTTCTGAGCAAGAACGAGGTTTTTTGAGGAATAGCAAATGCCCCATATTGGCTATTCTTGGCATGGCCAGGTTGTCATAATAGTATTTATATTTCCAGAATCCCAAAGTAAAAGAAATAAGACAAGGAAATTTTAAAAATTGCATATATAAATGCAAATAAATAATGAATTACTCATCTATAGAATAATGAATTACTCACCTATAAAAACAAGAAATGGACAATCTAAATGATCTCTAAAGGTCTTTTCATATTCATATATTATGTGCTGTAATTACCCACTCAAGGTATTTTTTACCTGCTGGCCATCATACAGACATGAGAAATTTCTGGAGATTTGGAATTTTTTGGTTAAATGGTCCTGATCCGCACTATATTAAGAACTTCACTTTCCTTTTGATTTCTCTTTGTAGGCAAAATAGTAGCTACATGTACCAAACTGAATACCGGGTACACAACCAAGCTATTCAAATTTTTTCTTTGGCTTCCTGCCAAAGGAATAGAAATTGGCTGACAACATCAGAGCAGAAGAAACATGAGCAGGAGGCAGTTTATGCGAGGGGGACTGAAACTCTTACAAATTCTCCAGAGGCCCCATGATTTATTTTGTTTCCTGATAGTTTACACTTTCTAATTTTGACAGATGAGGTTTTCTGCTTTTTTTTCTTAAGCAGCTTACTGGTTTTGTAAAGAAAGCACTAAAAGGGTAAGGTTAAGGAGCCAAGTAAGCATCAACAGAGACAGAAGCCTTATTTTAATTGAACTGAAACCCCAATGGCTGAAAAGCCAATGATTTTTGTTTTCATGCAGACCATTTTCTACTTAAGTTCATAACTGATGAAATAATCTGCTTCAACTCCTTCCTTATTGTTGATATTGATATGGGTAGTTTGTCCAACACATATTATTCAATAAAAGGGTCAGATGGATTTGCATCATTGATTCACTTTTATAATGCAGAGGGAGGCAACCAGGGCACCCTGCCATATCTGAGGTGATGGTGAGGAGGCATCTGACCTGCCAGGTATTTGTGAAAAGCATTTGGCCACATATAGTTTCACCATTGGCCTGAAGAGAGGACAGCTTCCATTTTGGTATTTTATTCCTTCAAGTCAAAGTATTGCTTCAAGAAATTCCCTCTTTCTGTCTTGATTATTTATCAGCTACCACTGTTTCAAGTGAATTAAAGTTTAGCCATCACTGAAAGTAGTCTCAATGATAGGATGTAGAATTTTGATGAAGAACATGTGCAAAGTACAAATTTAACTGTAAATCAGAATTTTCCAAATTGGGTGCTCTGGAGAAGTCCCTTTTTGGAGAAATATTAGTAAGTATTATAGATTTATTTTTTATTTTTTATTTTTATTTATATAACATCTTGATTTTTTTAAAGATTTATTTATTTTTGTACAAGAGCTGGGGTATAGGCCAGAGGCACGGGAGGTTGAGAGGATTCACCAGAGACAGAGCGGGGAGCAGAACAGGCAGAAGTACCGAAGACACTGCAGAGGGGAGCAGCGGGCGAGGCAGGAGAAGGCTGCTGCTCCATGTGGGAATCTCCCTTGCTGGCCAGGAATCGAACCCTTGAGGCAGAGGCTGCGGACAGCTTCACAGCGCAGCGCTCAACCCGCTGCGCCACCAGGGAGGCCCTGTAAATTTTTTTTTTAAAGGAGGTTGGAGGTCAGCTTTTTTACTATAGCTTTTAATGTATTAATAATTATTAACAACTTTTTGTTAAACACTTCTTATATGCCCCAAGTGGATACCCAAGGGAATGAAAGATTAATGCCTTGTAAAGCTAATGTTCTAGCAGGATTATATGAATATGACTATAAATAATAAACATAAAAAGAGAGAAATTACTAAGTGGGGTATAAAGTACATTGGCAACTCAGGGTGTTGGAAGAAAGAGAGCATATTGCATTTTATCAGTAACCAGGGTATGCTTCATTGAGTAATTGACATTTGAGCAAAGATTTAAATTTGTTCAAGAAGTTAGTCATATGATATCTCAGTGAGGAATGTGTTAGGCAAGGTGCCAACCAATGCAAAGGCCCTGAGGTCGGAGCATGTTTGGTATAAATGGAACGGAAAAGAAACCAGAGCTTGTGAAATAGCTGGCAGAAGGCAGGGGTGGGGAATAGTAAAAATTGAAAACATAAGAAGGAGGGGGTTGCACATGACTAGAGCTTTCCTAGCCATCCTACAGACTTTTCAAGCTAAGGAAACACGAGCCATTTTGTCATTTTGAAGAGAAAGATTACATGATCTGACACATTATACCTTAAATTAAACCACTTTGACTTCAGTGGAATATACCATCATTTTAAAATATTATTTGACACAAATGATAATTAAATTTTTGGTTTGAACTAAGGCAATCTGAATGCCTTTGGGAAGGGAAAGATTCCTTTCTGGATTAAAAAGAAACCACAAGATAAAGGAAAAGGTTTTGAAATGTGTAATTAAAGTTAAATTAATCATCTCTGCTTTCTTTAAGCATATTATTTTGTTGAATCATTAAATATATTCAAGTGATGTTGTGTTGGATTAAGGGGATATAATGCCTAACCTCATTTCTTTGTCTGCCAGGACTGCAGCTGAGAGTTTATTGAGTAGGGGATCAAGCTTTACATTAAGAGCCTTCCCTGGAAATGTGGGCTAAAGGATGCAGAGGTTGAAAATGGAAAAAGCTTCTTTATTTGCCTTAGTTTGCTGATGATCCAGACAGATGTTTGCCTGTAAGTGATGGGAATCTATTTTTCTGCTCAAACAAAGACACAGCATTGAAAGCAATCTCTCTCTTCTTTCCTTGACACATATTACCTAGCATTCTATTTTCAGTAAGACCCAGGAAGAAACAATATCGATAGCAATATTGAGTGCACTCATCAGCATTTCTTTCTTTTGGAAGAGATGGTCCTGACTTCCCAGTTGGTCTTCTCCACCTGCATCTGGGTTGCATTGACACCAAATATTTCTGCTGATGCTGAAATCTTGAAGCCCCACCGGAAGTGTTCCTCTTCATTGAAACAAACCTGGTAAGGGGCCCATTGTATGGTCTATGCAATTGCCCATTTCTTTCACCAGCTGCCTCCGACCTACTGGGAACCTAAAAACATTACTTTCTTTGTGATTGTAGAGATAATGTTCACTCATTTAATCACCTTTGGTTGGCATCAGAAATAGCAGAATCTTGGCATTTGGATACTTATTTTCGGAGAAAATAATTGAAAGGTTTAATGGGGATTTTCTTTCAGGGGAAGTATTTCTTTAATGAAATACTTTATTATTATTACTAATAATAACATTTGGTTTATTTTTTTTAATTTATTTTTATTTTTAAACAATATTTGCTTCCCTCCATCCCCTCAGGTTGAGTCCATAGAACTTCCTTCCCCAAGGCACCATCGTGCACCATCACCTCAGTCCCTTTGCTCCTCCCTCCCTCCCTCTGATGACTCTCCCTCCTCCTCCCCTGCAGTATGTCTCTGATTTATAAATGTCTGTTTTTGCTTTGTTGTACTGTTATTATTTTTTGTACTGTTATTATTTTTTACACTGATGTCTTATTTGGTTCCCCTATATTCCTGTTATAAGTGAAACCATCCGATATTTTTCTTTTTCCTTCTGACTTATTTCACTGAGCATAATTCCTTCCAGCTCCATCCACGTTGCTGCAAATGGCATGAATTTATCTTTTTTTTTCCCCAAGATTTATTTATTTATTTATGCAAGCACTGGGTACAGTCAGAAGCACGGGAGGGTGGGAGAATTCATCAGAGCCAGAGCGGGTAGCAGAGCAGGCAGAAGGACCGAAGTACACTGCTGAGGGGAGCAGCGGGCGGCAGGAGAGGTCTGCGCCCCATGTGGGACCCTCCTCAGGTGGCCGGGGAGCAGCCGGGGATCGAACCGGCACCGCGGAGGCTGCGGGCAGCTTCACAACCCAGCGCTCAACCGCTGCGCCACCAGGGAGGCCCATGAGTTTATCATTTTTGATCACTGAATAATATTCCATTGTGTATATATGCCACATCTTCTTGATCCAGTCATCAATTTTTGGGCATTTGGGTTGTTTCCGTATTTTACCTATGGTAAATAGTGCTGCAATAAGCATAGGTGTACAGGTGTTCTTTTGAATCAATGTTTTTGTGTCTTTCGGGTAGATCCCTCCTAGTGGAATTGCTGGGTCATAAGGTAGCTCCATTTTTAGTAGACTGAGGAACCTCCAAACAGCTTTCCATAGTGGTTGGACCAGTTTGCATTCCTACCAGCAATGCAGGAGAGTTCCTTTTTCACCACATCCTCACCAACATTTGTTGTTGCTTGTTTTTTTTTGATATGTGCCATTCTTACTGGTGTAAGGTGGTATCTCAGTGTGGTTTTGATTTGCGTTTCCCTGATTATAAGGTAGGATTGAACATTTTTTCATATGCCTGTTGGCCATTTGCATTTCCTCTTTGGAGAAATGTCTTTTAAGTTATTTTGCCCATTTCTTGACTGGATTGTTTATTTTGTTTTTGTTGAGTCATGTGAGTTCTTTGTATATCTATGTGATCAGTCCCTTATCAGTTGACTGGAGTGCAAAGATTTTTTCCCAATCAGTGGGATGTGTCTCTGTTTTGGTTAATGTCTCTGGCTGTACAGCAGCTTTTCAGTTTGATGTAATCACAGGTGTTTATCTTTGCCTTCAGTATCCCTGCTTTGGGTGATGAGTCATTAAAGATGTTTCTGAGATGTATGTCTTGTAGTGTTTTACCTGTATTTTCTTCTATATATTTTATGGTTTCAGGTCTTATGTCCAGTTCTTTTATCCATTTTGGGTTGATTTTTGTGCACAGTGAGAGGTAGTGGTCTAGTTTCATTTTTTTTTTTTTGCATGTGGAGGTCCAGTTTTCCCAGCACCATTTATTGAACAAACTGTCCACGTTCCATTGCATATTCTTTGTTCCTTTGTCAAAGATCAGTTGTCCATATAAGTGTGGCTTTATTTCTGGACTCTTTATTTGGTTCCATTGGTCTGTGTATCTGTTTTTGTTCCAATACCAAACTGTTTTAATTATTATGGTGTTGTAGTATAGCTTGAAGTTTGGATGTGTGATACCTCCTTTCTCCTTCATTTTCATCAGTAGGGCTTTGGCTATTTGTGGGTTTGTTTTTTTTTTTTGTTTTTTTTTTGTAGTTCCATATGAATTTCATCAATATTTGTTCTATTTCTTTGAAGAATGTCATTGAGATTTTTATTGAAATAGCATTGAATCTGTATATTGCTTTTGGGAGGATGGCCATTTTAATATTGTTAATTCTTCCAATCCATGAGTAGGGGATGTCTTTCCATTTCTTTGTGTCTTCTTCAATTTCTTTTAATGGTGTTTTATAATTTTCTTTGTATAGGTCTTTCACCTCTTTGTTAGGTTTATTTCCAAGTATTTGATTTTTTTTGTTTCAATTATAAAAGAGATGGTTTTCTTGATTTCTTCTTCTTCAGATTAATTTTGTATAGAAAGGCTACTGATTTTTGTGTGTTGATTTTGTATCCTGCTACTTTACTGAACAGGTTGATTATTTTGAGTAGTTTTTCTGTGGAGGTTTTAGGGTTCTCTATGTATATTATCATATCATCTGCAAATAGTGATAGTTTTACTTCTTCTTTCCCTATCTGGATTCCTTATATGTCTTTCTCTTGTCTTATTGCCCTGGCTAGGACCTCCAGTATTATATTGAAGAGCAGTGGTGAGAGAAAACATCCTTATCTTGCTCCTGATCTTAATAATAACATTTGTTTAATGTTTCTTCATATTTTGGGGAGTAAAAATTAGTTTAAGTACCAACTTCTAATGCCAGAGTTTATATTTTCACATATTGATGAGATGGCTGAATTATGAACATATGAAATATGAATATATGAGATAGTGCATGCATTAATGAAGTCATAAAAGCTGTGTGTTGTCTTTCAAGATTTGTTTCCTACCTTGTAATATCATCTCGATTGTCAATACATTAACATTATTATCAATAATAAACATATTTGAACATGCTGGTGAGGGAGCACAGCTAGTACTTAGAGTGACCATTTTAGCCCAATTTGCCAGGGATTTCACGGTTTTAGCACTAAAAGTTCTAGGAATCCTCTCAGTCCAGGGTAAATCAGAATGTTGTTTCCCCTGCTACTCAGTCATAACAAAGAAATAATCTACTGTCTATGGGATAGTCTTTTCTTTTCCCAAGACACAAGATTTTCTAAGAGTCCAAGCAGGAGAAAGTGAAGAGTGAAGGCGAAGATCACCCAGTCAACTTTTGCTAGCAAGTGGTGACAGATGTTGAATTCAGACTGCTCTTACATGTTAAATATTTATGAACCACTTACAATAAGATTAGTAAATAAAACATAAAAATTTAATAAATCCTCATAAAACATAAAAATAAAACATAAAAATTTAATAAACCTGAAGCCTCAGGTTTAATGACTAAAAACAAAATTGGGGAGAAAGAAGTTACTAGATTCCTGATTCCCACTCTGCTCAAGACCCAGACTTGGCTGGGGAGAATTTGGGGGGGGGGTGTGGGGGTGTGTGTTAGCATATTTGTGTGATTTCCTTCTAATAGGAGGGATTTAATAGAAATACCCTGGGTAATCTGTGCTCTCCAAAGATTTATTTATTGCATGCCTGGGATCAAAACCATCTCCTTAACTGCTGTTCCTAACATTTAATGTTAAAACAATGTTTGCATCAATTAAATATTTCTGAGAGAGAGAAAAAATGGACTATCTCCCACATTTTCCTTCCATGCTTCTGCTTCTACCCCCAGATCTGAGACAATATGAAGTCTAGTCCAGTTTGTGTACTTTCTGAGTCTTGTTCAAGGTAATATTTGGGGAATGTGGAGTTATACTACCAGATACATACCAAAATTTTTTCAGGTCGCTATAACATCCATGTAGTATACTTTATCAAAACTTAAAACAGGTAAAGAGTGCTTGAAATATCACCTCCCTCTCGGCAGGAGGGTATCTGTCCAGTCTGTTTGGTGGATATATATAAGAAAAGGGAAATCGTCACAGGTACCTATCCATCACACTGGCCACCTCAGTGGCAGAGTTGCTTCAGAAAAATCTACCGTATGTATTTTTTTTTAAAGGGATTGTAGGAGAAGATGGGTTCTTTGTGATGGGGTGGGAAATTTTTTCTTATGCTACATGTCTCAGTTTTAGCTATCACTAAGAGAGAACTCTGGGGTTTCTGATACATGGGGTGAAGCTTGTTTATTTTCACCTCTCTATATCCTAAATGAGGTGTGCTTTTCAGGGATAAACTAGAATATGATTCATTAAAATTTATATCTGCTTCTTTTGTTCTTCAAAGAAAAATCCTCTAGGGCACTAGGGATTGAGTGAACCATCAGCCCTGGTTCAGAAGTAGCCACTTAAAATGAAAGCCAAGCACTTTCCCTGTGAACAGAAAAATCCAGCCTGCCAATTTCTGAGCTGTCACTTGGCACTCTCATGTAGATTATAAGGCATTTTAATAAAAATGCAGAAATTACTGAGTGGAATTGTTTCTGGCATCAGGAGTACAGAATTCTTCAGACCTTGGTATGTTAATAATTAACTGTGAAGTTTTTTACCCCACCCAATCTATCACTAACTAAATACAAAATGAATGAATGAATTAGTAATTCATTCTTGCATAATGCAAGGGAACTAAAAGAAAGAAGATGGAAGAAAGGCATGATTTAAAAAAAAATGATGTAAATTTATATACATTACCTCACTTTGTGTGCATTATTTTGAGCCAGTTTTCATACAGTCAGGCCTTTAAATGATCTACTTTTAACTGCTTTTCACTCAATCTTACTTTTTACCCCAAAGTTCCTTTATTATCAGAATATTATCTTATTCTTTCATCTAAAGAATCCCTTTATTTCTTACTAATAAAATGAGGAGAATATGGAGTTGGTGAATAGAGTAATGTTATTGCAAGTGAGAAAATGTCCCTGTTTTGCCTAGAAAAGAAATTTGTCTCCTTAGGATGCAAAAAGG